GAGAGCAACTGTGGGAAAGTTAACAAAATATTAAGAGGGACAGTTCGGTTTTTAGACAACAATCAACAGCACATACAACTTGGCTATGCAAAGAATAAGGGTGGGGGGAGGGAAAGAGCGGTAGGTAACTTTCTGAACCCTTTACCGTCATACAAACATAAATGGAAGGAGAGCATTATTTAGCCTGGTACAGCAAGTATATACAAGTAACAGGACAACTAAAAAGAAAAGTTTGAGCTAAAGATCAGGAAAAACTTCCTGACTAAAAGATCTATCAGATTGTTGTTCAGTCTCCTGAGGAAGTGACGAGAGCTTTATCCTCTAGAGATACTTAAAATTAGAATGGATGAGGTACTAGAAAGCATCCTGTAACAGAAAAATCCAACTCGGACTTGGTCAGGTTGGAAAGTTACTAAAGGAAAGTAGCACAGAAAAAATAATATACATAGAAAAACAATAATTTAAAGTGAAAGTGAGGGACTTGAGAGTCAGAAAATCTAGGTTAAAATCGTGGGTCTCTCCTTTCCAGTTTTAGAATCCTAACTTAAACTTTATGAGTTACCTAAAGTGTAAATGACGACCTGCCCTATGCAAAGTCAAAAACATAGTAACTGTTAAAAAATTACACTGCCGTAGGATATCATTACATATACGAGGGTATTTTACTGAAAGGAAACAAAATATTTATAATTTTGCTGATTTTAAAATTTCAGTTTAAATACCACTATTTTGAAGACTGTTAATTACTAAAAGGGAAAGGAGCATGTCTTCAAATGAAGCTTTAAAACATCATTAAAACCAAGTTTTAACGAATGAGACCAAGTGAAATAAAACTCCCTGTTCTTGAAAATGTGGCATGGTCAATTTCTAGGAGATAAGCAATTATACGATAAGAAACATTTCAAGTAACTTTGTCAGACAACCATGATGTCTAAAAGAGTCTATCCAATTACCTCTGGAAAACCATTAAAATATCCTGCTGTTTCTGTGACCCTATCAGTTTGGTAGGCAATTCATACCCACTACCAGATGGCTTTCAGAAGAGGCAACCACATATGTTTACTCAACGATTTTCCAACTGTTTTCCCTGGAATCACAACGCTCCACAGAAAAATATGTAAAACCCACCATTTATGGGTTTCATCAATGTCTGCCTCAAATTTCATTTAAACTGAAAATTCAAACTTAGTTAAAAAAAAAATCCTACACGTTAACTCAATGTCATTTACTACATTTTAACAATTGGAAACCACCAAGGTCTTAAGTGGTATTACCAGGTTAACATATTTTTGTAATGATTTGAATAAAGCTTCTCTTGCCATCTCACTGAATAAATACGCACATCTTATAAATCTGCCATTAATCAGGAAGACTATAGCTCCGTGCTTTCTGAAAAATTTCCTTCAGACTGTACATGTTGACTCATGTAAACTGTACAATTAAGGCCTACTGCATACCTGGATGAATCAGAATTTCGTACTGAACAACTAGCAGAAAAGAGAACATGAAATTGAATACAAAGCTAGCCCTGTGATCCTAATCCTCAATTTCAATTTTGTATTTATAGAACGACTGACTTTACAAGTAAATGTTACAAACAATTTCACCTTGCAGACGACTCAAGCGACCTTGAAAATAGCACACATACAGGAGTTTTTTGGTTTTTAATCAAAAGCATTATGTGGCAATGTTGGCAGAAAAAGTATCATGAATGAAAATGCTAATTTCCAGGTATACGCATATAAAGTCACAGGTTTCCACACTTACTTTAAAAGTCTGCTTAAGTTAAGCTTAAAGTTGAACTCAATGCTAAGAAAATGCCAATATATCAAAAACCTTTATCTATAAACCAAAAACAACAAAATCCTTATGTCCTTGACAAGACAAACGTCCATTTATTTCAAGGTAGACCCTTATAACAAAATCCTACCTGTATGGTCCCTGAAAATTCATTGTTCTAGAATCTATAGCCTGAAATCATTTATTGAGTCTGCTGAAAGAGCATTCTTTTTTGTCTCTCTCTCAGAATAAATTCCAATTGCCATAGGATCCCTAAACTCTCAGGGACAGAAGACAGGCCCCTAGGAAGATTGGAAACAATTAGGATATATTTCAGAACTGAAAGCAGCAATCAATGCAAACTGAAGAGCAATCAGATACTTCTGCTGCTTCTCGAGTTGAAAACTATAGTCTCCAGGTTTCTCAGAAGTTACAAAGCAAGACACTGGATGGTATTCATAAGCTGCTTAGATCTTTTTTTTTTTTTAATCTGTTCAGATACACTACATAAAAACAGTAGCTACCATGAACATAGTTTGGGTTTTAAATTGATGACTATGCCTTTAAAAAAAGGAGTGGGGGATCTGGGGAGTAAAAGATGAAGAGAAGGGAGTAAATGAATGTGTTAATTTAATCGTAAAATAATAACAGGATATAAGAGAGTTCTGAGTATCCAGAGTGACCAATCAGAGCCTAAACATAGCTGAATTCCATCCCAGCCCCAGCACGTCCCTAACACAAGAATAAAACCCTTCTTATCTTGTTCAGCCATGTGTCGCCTGCCACAAACTGCAAAACAGAACAACGCCCAAAACCAGCTAGTCTGATTTCAACTGAGGACAGACAGACTCTGTAGTCAGAAGCACCACAATGAAAGAACTCTAAATCACACAGCTGGCCTGGTGGGTCTGCATACTCTACAAAACAAAGCCATACCACATTCAGTACTTCAAACTTGAAAGGATCTTTAAAAAGCTACACTGGCTCTGTTAATTTGCCAACAGCTCCAGAATCAGCAAAATATACCTACAGTGCACTGGAGTTAGACAGTGAGAAGACAGGATGAGGTAGGCAGGGCTGAGAAGAAGTTAGGAACTATTCTCTACTCATAACTTTGTTGAGGCATCCTGGCACAGAAATGATACTAAACCAGTACTTCTGGATTTCACCCCAACATATATTCAAATCAGAGACAACCACTCTCCTAAAAAGCAAATGGATGCTTGATATTTATGGAATAATTTATGTTTAATGAAAAAGTAATGGTTACATAAGAATAATTCTTGTAAAAAACCAAACTAGTAGCACATTCCTACGAAATAGACATCCATACTGTCTCAGTAGTGCATTTTAAATTAAGTGGCTTTTAAAGTTCTTTTTTCTTCTAAAAAATATATAAAATCAGGCAGCACCTGAACTAATTCAAGCATATTAATACTCAAACCAATCTGCAGATTCATCTTATTCTTAGAATACTCATCTTTCAATCCTTTGTGCCTAGCAAAGAACAGGCGTTCAATAATTGCATGCTTCTTGTATATTTATATCTTATCTAAGTCATAAAAAGGACACATCTCAAGACTTTATTTCCAAGATAATGGAAAGAGGAAGAAAATCTCTGAGAAGCAAAGGGGAAGAACAGTCATTACTTGGGGGCTTTTAGGTGATTTTCATGTGGAATGAGCTGATGACCCAACATTCTGCTTCCACAACATTTAACATCCCTCGCGTCACAATAAAAACTACCAACACTACTTTAATAAGACTTCTTGTCCAAGGCTCAACAGAGAGGGTAAGAATTGAATGAGCCACGGAAACAATTACCCACACACCCATGAAAGTGATTTCTCAGAAGCAAAACACCCGGAAAGAAAAAGGAATGGGAATAACTAGAAAAAATCAAGATGAGCATTGTTGCTAATCATGTTAAGTGTACTCTCAGAAAAGTTGAAAATTAAAAAGTATTTTTAAAAAAATACACGAACAAAGAATAAATATAAATAGTTTAAATATTTAATGGAATCTTTTAGGTGAACATCCACGTGACACTAGAAAGCATCAACAGGAAGAGGAAGTTCTGTTTCTGGAGTCGCTGTTATGGTATGATAATGGAATTTGGCCCTTTTAAAATCAACAAATGAGTCTTACAATTGGGTAAAACTCTTATTAGGAAATTCAACTGCTTTCTGCAGGAGCACTATTGCTGCACTTTTCATCAAAGTACCTTCTTTGGCCCCCTTATTCAGTTATTGGATCTTTTTTTTAATGATGTAACAGTTTGAAACATGACAAAAAAAAAGGTGACTGAAATTTGGGACCAGGATACAATGTCATAATTAAATTGAGAAATAAAACGTAGTAAAGGACTTAATATGCTTCTATTGCTTAACCTAATATTCCAAAGAATAACTCTTAAGAGTAAGGGAACTCCACTTAAACCACAAATGGCCTACCTCAATTAACCAAACAACACCAGGCAACATAGAATAAGTACTACTATAAAAGGCTCACAGAACTCAACAAATCCACCTGTCACACTTGTACTACATAATTCGCTTAGGGTTTGTATCCCTTAAATGCAAATGTCTCTGGAAGACGAAATACTAAAAATGCAATAATTAAAATTAAGCCCCATTATTTTTCTTCGCCTTTTTTTAGCTCCTTGATATTGCCCCCAGCAAAAGCCTGCGGTTTACTAGTAATTTCAATATTCTGGAAAATTATTAGATAATAAACACTGTGCAAGTCAATTACTTAAAGGAAATCAAGTTCATAAATCATTATGCAACAGTCTCAGAATGAAATTCATAAACAGAAATTCCTAAAAAGTAACAGTGTCCAGAAACAACAGGACAGGAATCAAAACCGAGGATGCACCAACACCCCAGCTGACTTCAAGCAGTGACCTTCACCCCAAATGACCTTCCTCTGGTTCCAAAATAAGGACAGAATCCTAACGCACACTACAGGCAGAAAACCACAATCATGGTTTTACCTATCCCTGCTCTGAGAATCTGGAGGAAAGTTTCTCTCCAGAAAAAACTACATTTCCAAATTCAATCAACTGGGTAACTTGGCAGCAACCCTAGACTAATTGCAGAGCTCGGAAACAACCTTCTCTCCTGTGCCTGTCAACGCCGCTGGTCAAAGGCAATCACTGACTCTCCTGCTGGGTCGGCCGAATCCAGGGAGGCTGAGCGCAGGGGGAGCTTCATACCAACCTGTCGGTGATAGTAGACTGTGTGCCACTCATTGGGGCCCTTGGCGAGAGGTCCTCCTTTTATCCAACTTGCATTTTACAGGAACACCTCCACCCCACCCCCAGTGCTCTGGGATCAGGCCCGACTCCGTAAGGGACACAAAAGTCCAACTCAAAACTCCATGCAGTCATCTAGAACGTCCGATTGGAAGGAGTCAAGGAAAGGGGATATGGGGTGGAGCAAAACAAGTTATCTCCCCAAACAACCCGAGGAAGTCTGCCAGAAGGCGAGTTCTAGAGATCAATCCTCGAAAAGGCACAGGGAGAAAACTTCGTCACCGAGGGAAGTCGGAGAACCGCAGGGAAGGGGGCCCGGAATCCCTCCGGGGCTGGGGCGAGACCAGCTCAGGGCTGGCGTCGGCTCCTCCTCCGGAGTCTCGGGGCCTGCACGTCCCGCCCTCTCGTCTCCGCTCTATCTGGGACCGCCGGCCGCTCGTGGCCGCAGCCTCGGCCGCGTCTCGGACCGTCCCGCGCCAGGCTCGCGCGGCTCCATGTCCCCGGGCCGGGGAAGCCCTCTCGTCTTCCTCGCCGCCCCCACCAGGCGCGGGGCGGGTGCGGGTGCCGGCGGAGCGGGTCCCGCAGCCAGAGGTGACAGGAACCTGGTCTCAGCGCCGCGGGCTGCTCCCCATCCTGCGGAGGCCCGGACTCTTCCGCAGTCGGGAGAGGCGGCGGCAGCTCCTCCCCGACGCGCCGAGGGCGGCGGTTCCCGCGAGGGGCGGGAGGTTCCGGTCCGGCCCGGCGTGGAAGTGCCGGCCCCGGAGGCCGGCGGCAGCGGGGGCGACTCGGAGCGCAGGGCTGGCTCGCCGAGTCCTGAGGCCCTCGCGGGAGTGCGCGCGGCGGGCGAGGGAGGCCGGCGGCGGTGGGGGCCGCGCGACACTCGCAGGCGTGCGCCCGGGTTCCGGTTCCGGTTCTGTCTTCCAGACCCCGGCCGTGTCCAGCGCGAGCTCGCTCGTCCCCTCCCCCGCCGACTTTTTCGGCCTCCTCCCCTCTGACTTCGGGAAGCCGCCTCACCCGGGATCCCTCCGCGGCGCGCAGGGCCGCCGCGCCGCCCTCCCGCCTGGGGCCCGCCGCCCCCGCTCGCCTCGCGCGAGTTCCCGCCGCCCCCGCGCCGACGCCTCCGCCGGAGTCTTGTGTGGGGGAGCGAGAAAGTAGTTCTGCGGGACGAGGTGGGAACGGTCGGTACCCGGGAGTCCCACTCACCAACTCAGCAACCCACCGTCGCCCCTGGGGCCCCGGGAATGCCGGGTATCTGTACTTCGGAGTCTAGCCTGCGCTAACTCAGCTTTAACCGGAGACCGCCAAAGAACGCTCCCCCAACCCCGAGGTGTTCAGGCTGAGAGGCTCTTTGGCCATCACCCGCGCCCTTGTCCTAGAAACTTTTACTCCTTGAGGGAATGTACTTGTTCTTCCGATTTTCTGCTAACACGTTTAGACTCCTTCTGACTGATGGAAGCGAGCTCAGGTCCAGGTGCCTGGACACTGTCCCTCTCTTATGAAGCAAACCCCAGCAAAGGGAGGTTTTGGCCTTGGCCGCTCACCTGGGGCACCTGCTGGCCTCGTCTCAGGACAGGGGCCGCCACGCACGCGCCCTGCCTGCCGAGGGAGGGTTGGAGGACGGGGGTGTGCAGGGCTGGGGAGAAAGAGAGTTTGGGAATTGGAGCCAAGATTTCTTGGGATAATATTGCTTTTAAGCTGCTTCTGCCTTGGCAAAATGAAAGGTATTATTTGCCAAATTAAGAAAACATGGTGCTTTCCACAGCGACCTAACAAGCTTGCTGTGGAAAGCAATAAAGGCAGAAAATAAAGTATACTGTATTTATCCAGTAAACAGCATTACAGTTCTCTTTGAAGAGTTCCCAAATATTTTTTCGTTGTTTTTTCCCTACTATGTAGCTAGATTTAGATATCTATCTAGTTTTATGATTGCATAATTCGGTATTGTAGCAATTTAAGTACAACACGCAATTTAGTTCTTCCATTCCTCCCTTAAAGGTCTAAAGTGGCTGTCCCTTTATCCAGCTATTTTCAGACTTTTGAGTTTAAACCCGTATTGGTGGTCTTCAGCCTTTTTGTGGAAATCAAGTGGCAAAGCAAATCTAGTCGTCAGTGGATGTGGCGAGCGGGCGGAAACAGTTACAATTACCTCTTAACAATGCTGTTTCTAAAAGTCGACCTACAACAGTTCATGAAAGGATCATTATCCCTGAATAGATGCATGAGCTAAGGCTGACGTTAGAACGGGGTAAAAAAAGGAAAAGATAAACAGAGGCCAAAGATGACTCTTTATTGCTTGAATTTTTTAAGTTCAGGGCACAGCCAGCTAATTTTGTAATGTTTATTTTGGGAAAAAATAGAAGCAGATTAGGGTTCCAAGCCACTTTCCTAATGATCAGACCAGGACACATTGCCACCTGCTGGTGTACCCTAACGTGATAATTCTATCCTGAAAACTCTTTTAATGAAATTATGTATTTTCTACATATAACTGGAAAGAGCTCCATCCATCTATATACACTGACCAAAATGCAAACCTTATCTCCAAACGTATATCTTTCTTAAACATACTAAATATCTTTTTTGCCCTATTCTAATAATTTTACAGTGTAGGTATCAAATTAATTGGACCCAATGACTCATCAAATTATGCATTTTAAAAACGAGTTCCCCACTTCCCTTCAAGAATGCCTCACTACTTGAGCTTCAGAAATAAAACAAACTGGGCAAGTTTCCTAATTCACCTTCTCTTCCTTGCATACAAAACCTCTTGGCAGACTGCTTTCAAGATCTTTCCAAACTTAAACAGACCCAAAGTTCTAGCTGTGAGCAAAGAAGGCATTTGCTGTGGGAAAGCTTCAGAAGATGGTAAGCAAAGGATTTAATTAAGCCCAGAACTATTTTTTCTTAATGATGAAAATCTCTATATTCACCCACAAAGCGCTAATGGTAAAATGTCTGTGAAAGCCTCTTTACAGCTGTTGGTAGCTCTAGACTGTTCTAAAGGGCTCTATCTACAGAACGCCTTCAGAAGAGTCACGCCAATCTAGGTAGTACACACTCCCCAGGGTCGTTAGTCTTTTGCCTAGAAAAATGACACAATCCATTGTGCATGCTGTTTGAGCAGGTTTTCCATTGGAGGGTTATTCTAAACCACATTCTCCTCCCCTCATCCATTCTTTCAACATGCTTATTGAGCACCTACTCTGCATCTAACACTGTTCTAGGTGTTGGAAGTACAGTTCTGAAGAGAGCCAAAGGCTCTGTCCTCATGGAGCCCACTCAACATCATCATTTTCAAGGCAACTGCCCACACAGGTGGCAAAATAAGAAAGAAGTTAGGTTCTTCCTCTCTCTTTTGGCAAAGTGTTTTCTGTATGTAGATTGTTGCTCCAAAAAGTAAAGAATGGTAGGAATGGTTGATGATAAGCAGCAGATAAGAGGTAATTCACCAATAAGTATAAATATGGGTCAACATTTCTACAGGTCAAAAGACTTTTTTCCCCACTTCTTGGCAAAACCACAACAAAGATATAAACGCAGACTCTGGGTTGAGAAAAAGTTGTTTATTTTTATAAAATTTAGTACAAATCTTATTGAAATATAAATCCTTCTTGAGCAGTGTTAGTAATTATTACATAGTAATCCAAATGCAAATGAGTCCTGCATTTTGTCCAACCACACCACATGTGAATTAGCCCTTCATTTACCTGTGATGTAAAAACTCAGCATCTTAACTGCTGAGGCATATTCATTTCACATTTTTCTCTCAGAGAGTTTCCTTCATAGTTATTAGCTATGACATCAAGAATAGTTGAAATGAGGAATTCTCTTTCCCTTATCATTGTTTAGGTTTCTCAAAATTCAAAGAAACTCCCATGAGAGTACCCCAAAACAGCAAGATCTGCAATCCCTTCATTTCTGAAGAGTAAGGAGAAAAGAATTGGTACCAGATTAAGCCTATTCATTTGTCTGGTATGGAACAGGTTACACTTTGCCAAAATTCAAGAGCCAGCTTTTTCTTTTTTTTTTTTTTTGAGCTCATGCACCAAGCCACTTTTTTAGTAGGCTTTTGCTAAAATCAGCATTCCCCAGCATCCTACTTTGACCACAGATTTGTTAGGAGGAAGCTAACTAGCATTTTAGGGATACTGATCATAGACAAATAGAGATGGAGATGCTACTGTCAGATTATTTCCATGTCCAGCAAAACTCTTTCACCAAATGACAGTCATTTTAGAAGACCCACTGTTAACATGCCTTTAAAGTTGCTTTTCCCAGAGCAACAATGACTTGATGCAGTTCCAGTCACTCCGTCATGCCTGGCCAATGACATCCATTTTCAAGACCACTCATTAGGTTAAGATTACCAGTCACCACAGGATGGGCTCACACTTCCTGCTTTCAGCCTTGACTTCAAGAGCCCCATACACTTGCTCACCAACTGAGCTAATCAGTCACCACAGGTCTAAATAACATAAATAAATAAATAAACAACAAATATACAAATAAATAAATACTTCACTTTTTCATAAAAGCCCTACATTAAACACCTCCATGAATAAAATGCCACATAATGTCTCTATGAAATACCCAGCAGGGTATTTCATTCATTCACAAGAGGGTTCAAATTGAGGCAAAGAGTAAACAAGTGACCTGCCCAAATGATCCAGCAAGTGAGTAGCAAAATTAGTTAAAAGAGCCCAGGAATTCTTGATTCCCATCCCCTTGTTCTGTGCTTACACTCTTGCTTTTCCTAGGTGAGATCAGAGACTATCGCACTAAAAAATATTTTTTCCTTCCAAGTCTGGCCTTGTTATAATATTTTGTCCATCAACACTGGCACCTTTTTCCGAGAAAAAGTAGTAAAAGGACTGAAAGGGAATGTATCTGAAATGCAAAAATTAGCCTTATCCCACTGAGGCCAGGACATGCTTTAGTCTTTGGTTCTAGCCTGCAGCGTGCACAGCAGAGCTGAAACCTGAACTGTCATCTCAAGCATAGTGGAATCCACAGGGTAAATCCCTGTGGAATTTAGTCACAGCCTCTCATGCCTACGAGATTAATGCACAAAGCCCTGAGAACTGGCATAGTTTTCCCGGTTGGGCAAAACCCGTACAACAGGACTCGGTAAATCTGCCCACACCTCATTCATCTCTCATCCAAAGCCCTGGCTCTATGGTTTTTGTGCAGAAAAGAGAACATAGCAGGACTGAACTGCTATCCTTGGAAAGGGCTGCTTGTAAGGCTGGCCCTCAGCCAGCATCTGGGAACTTCGATTTCAGGAGAGCTCCCACCATTAACTGATAAGACTGGCTCACTGTGCCTAAAACTGTTTGTGCAAACAATATGGGTTATGCTGAATACCTGCTTTCCTTCTGGGAGTCAGGAATTTTGCTATATCCCAGTAAAAACCCTGGGCACTGAGTCTCTAATGAGCTTCCTTGGTGGACATTTCACACATATTGCCACAAATCGTTGATAGTGGAATTAAGCACATCCTGTGTGATCCCACTGGGAGAGGGCTCTGGAAGCTTGGGCCTGGTTTCCCCTATACTTTGCCCCCGGTGCTTTTTCCCTTTGCTGATCTTTCTTGGTATCCTTTCGCTGTAATATATCAAAGCAATGAGTATGACTACGTGCTGAGTCCTGTGAGTCGTCCTAGCGAACCTGAGGGTGGGTGTGGGGACCCCCACACAGTTGGTACAGGGAGGCTCAGTAAGTACTCACCACCACTACCACAGTCTCACCCCCATCCTTCTCTCATCCTCTATCCCCCTTTGTTTAAGCAGATTCAATCCCCTGATCCAATAGTCAGAATGCCAAAGGCACGCATCTTCCTGAAAGTTCCTCCCTTTATAGTAAATGGGATGAATTTATATAAATTGCTACGTGGAAAGTGTTTGTTGAAGGAGTCACTTCTCAAAGGAATAAGGAAGAAACAGCATTAATCTTTTTCGAGTTCCCTTTTAAGCTGTCTGACCATCAAGCCTCCCAGGGGCAAGGGCACCCAGGGTCACCACAGACTAAAAGGAATGCAGTAGTGCTCACCTCACAGTTCTGACTTATGCACAACTACCACTGAGGAGTCTCACTTTCTACAACTATGCGACTGTAGACATTAGTGTTTTAATACTGGTACGTGCTCCACTCAAAGACCCACCAAACTGATCGATAAATTTAGCCCTTTTTAGAAACCTAAGTTTGTTATAAGCGTGATTCCATAACAGCCATATTTCCAACCTGGTTCCCATGGCTGACTTAACCCACTCCATTTTCTGGAGCAAGCCTTGGCTAGCGCGTCTTGAGATGTCCATTATGTTTTAGCTGCCACTCCTCACTCCGCCTGCTTCTCCAGGCATGGTACTTCTTGATGCTTTTCCTCCATGCAAAGCGCCAGATGCTAAACATGAAACACCAAGACACAGCATACATAGCTACTCCCCCAACCTTTACAAACCACTTGGGCTTGGGTGAGACCATTTCACAGAAAAGGAGGCGAGCTCCTACGCCAATCCTCACTCCAGTGAACAGAGCCACAAAGAAGAAGTCCACCACATCTCCAGTGAAACTATGGTAGTGCCCTGTTTCACGGAGAAACCAGCGCATCTGGAGCAAGGGGTTGGTAATCTCACTTCCAAAGAGGACTGCATTGACCTCTGTGCCTGACTCTCCAAGCACCAGGGCCATGATGATGCCCAAGATACTCAGTGTGTGGTGAGCCAGCATCAGGGCTCCCTCAGACTGGAAGTAGATGCACCAGCCCAAGTCGAAGATGAAGTAGCCCAAGGTGAGACACAGAACGTGCACTTGGAGAGGTGTATTGGGTGAGCCTGAAATAAACCAAGATAGAAGCAAATTGAGTGACTGGGAATTGTGCTACCTTGCACAGGGATCCTATGTTGAGTGTTGTCTCTCAAACCTTTTTGAATCACTGAAAGCAAAAACAATGAAAGGAACAGGCTTTTTAATGACAACCAAAGAAAGACTAAAATCTAAAAACTTGATCTTTATCAAACCAAACAATGTTACAGGCCCCAGGAAATGCTGTTCTGATGAATCAGATCTCAATGAATGATTCAAGCACCAGCAATTATCTCAGTGTCCTCCCTTTGTAGCAACATAAAATAGTTATTTTGTTCTTTCAGTTAAAATCCTATACAGCTTCTTTCTTTTTACCAGCTAAAGGTCTGTTTCCGGATTCTTTTAGTTTTTCTGTCCTGGATGTCAGATTAATTTCTTAGCTTAATGGATTGGATTATTGGACACTGGTGGTCCTAACGGATCTTGAAAGTGGACTCTGGAAAGAACTCCAGAAGTTAATGTGTTCTCATGTCCAAGAAAATAGGATGCAAGGACCTGACATGTTTGAATCCATTAAGAACCTTCATATAAAACTTAAAGCTTAAGAGTTGCTTTCATATCAGTTTGACAGTTTGGGGGAAAACTCAGAAGTTCAATATGCAAATCTCTAAGGAAATTAAAAAAAGGAATCTAAGGAATGAAAAAAATCATCTTCTAGGGACTTACGGACTCAATTATGTCTCCCCAAAATTAAAGCCCTAACCCTGGTACCTCAGAATATAACTATATTTGGAGATAGGGCCTTTAAAGAGGTAATTAGGTTAACACGGAGTCGTTAGGGTGGGATCTAATCCAATATGGCTGGTGTCCTTATAAAACAAGATTAGGACATAGACACACACAAAGGGAAGACCATGTGAGGACACAGCAAGAAGGTAGCCATCTGCAAGCAAAGGAGCAAAGCCTCAGAAGAAACCAAATCGGCCAACACCTTGATCTTGAACTTCCAGCCTCCAGAATTGTAAGAAAATAAATTTCTGTTGTTTAAGCTATCCACTCAGTAGTATTTTGTTATGGCAGCCCCAACAAACTAATACAGGGGATACAATTTTTGTATTCTAAGGAAGTAACACCTGTACATCTAGCAGCTTAAAAATTAATATAACTGCCCCAAATAATGAGGCATTGGTTAAATAAATGATGGTAAACACATACAATACAATATCATGTAACCATTAAAAAGGATAACTATAGACATAGACATGGAAAGATGATGTGCTTTGAATATATAATCAAGTAAAAATTACAAGTTACCAAAAAGTATGTATAATATAGTCTATTTGTGTCTGTTTGGGGGTGGTGGTGGAAGATGTTGATATTGGCTTTATTTGTACATTCCGATCAATTAAATTGTAACAAGCACTTAAAATTTGTTTTAAAAGTAGAGAGTTCTGAAAAGCAGAAACAATAGGTGACATATACAATATCAGAGTTAACACTGAAGATGAATGAAGACTCCCAATACAAATTATAATGGTAATCATTCTTCAGTAGTCTTCAATATTGTACAAATTCTGTGAAAAAGTCCCATCTTTCTAAGACTACCCCCCAAATCATGAATCCCTAAGGGAAAATTCTCTATTGTCTCCCACCTACCTGGGTGGGTAAAAGGCCAAGGGCCATCAATGAAGCCAATATAAGCTGAGAGGCCTATAGAGAGGACTCCATGGGTGAACGTAACCAGGCGGCAACTCCACTCATAGCTTCGGTGCTTATTCAGGCGGCAGAGAGAAATGTAGAGCGAGAGCCAGCCCCCCAGGCTGCACAGCACCTGCAGACACAGAGCTAATGCCATCCTATGATGAAAAGACCGAAACCAGAAAAACAAAGGATGCACCCTAAGAAAACAGCATTGGGTCAGTTTGTGTATAATCTTCATTTCTACTCTAGAATAGTACAAAAATATTGCCTTCACTGAAACACTTCTTCCTTATCTGCATAGCCAAGAATCTTCTATTTAAGTATGGCTGTATTTCTGGCTCCATGTTCATTAGAGATAACATGTTGGCAGCTGGTAAAAGCTGTAAACTGAAAACCAGGACCTGCATTCTGAGTTAATAGACTGTCTAATATAACATGTGGTTATGGTGAGTAAATGTCAGTCATAACCTCCCAGTGATGACTGACCTTGGACAATGATACACAAGTAACATAATACATGTATTAGATAATGCGTCCACATTTCAAAAGTCCCAATAAGAAGCTGTCATGAAAAAACACCACCACCACTTGTGGTCTCAGCTAGAGAAGTCATATGACACATGACAGTTTCATGTGGTTTTAAGCTGACACTAAACTCAACTGAAGTTTGGATTTGGGTCACAGGTTTATCAGCAAAATCGAAACTTGAGGTAAACCTAAATATAGCGCTAAACAAAGACTCCAGACATCTTGGAAGGAAAAGAATAAAATAAAATCCTAGTCCTATTCAGTTCTGAAATCCAAAAAGACTTACCAAGAGGGAAGCAGAAGGATTTTGAGGTAGAAGAGGGGAGTTTTTGTTGAGATATAAAAATATCTTTAAAGCAATTTTTTAGTTAAAAATGAAACAAAGTCACAAAGCTACACTTTGAAATTTTTACTGACAAATGTATCAGGACGAGAACTATTGTAACTGAGTCAACTTAGTCATACAGGACTAAAAAATAACGAAGATGCTATTATTAATATTCATTAGCCCCTCTATTGAAAGTACAAATAAAAAAGTCAAAAACATTTCAGATATCTGTCTCATCTCAGCAGGAATTTTCTGCATGGCTACACTTACTGCTTAACCCTATTCTGAAAAGTGAAATAGTATCTGTGAACCAACACACTTCAATACACAAGCCACTCCCAAGAATGCTATCCAGAGAGGGCTTGATGAAGGTCCAGTTCTGTACAGCTTTCACCTGAAATCAGATTTCTAGTCAAGAAAACAGTAGGTGTCAATCATAGACTTGAGTTCCAACTCTGTCTCTGCCCCTAACTAGCGGTAAGAGTGTGGGCAAATCGCCTCAATTTAAAATAAAAAAGAAAAGAAGAAAGAAAGAGAGAAAAGAAAAAGGATTGAAAAACTCTATAATCCAGTCCAGTTCTGAGAAGCAGTTCTGAGATAAATTTTGTAAAGCATCTAGGCCAATTTTCAGAGCAAGGGCCAGAAATACAAAGTACCCCGAGTGAAAAGAACCATCCTCCCTCATTTCCTTTTAAAGGCCAGAGTCACCGGCCAGTAATGCGGATCAGCTCATTTGGATATGCCGATTAGTATTTTTAGAGTTCTCTTCCCTGAATCCTAATTCCCTGGCAGGACAGAGGAAACAGTAGCCTATTTACAAACATTTAAATAAAAGAAGAGATATTTGTAAATGGCAGATACGACTCTGTGATCTTGGGAAAGTCACTTCATCTCTGGGTTTCGGCTTTTTACTCTTGGGTAAAGGAATGGCAGGGTATTTAGATGGCCGTTCCAGCTCAGAATTCCAAGACTCCGGTCCTCGCTCCCCCCGTTCCAGGGCCAGATTCGGGAGGAGGAGCGCTGGGCGGGCCCACCTGGCTCTTGGCCTCGGAGCAGGAGTGGCTGGGGCGAGCAGCAACCTCCGGCGCCTCGCAGGCACCGCGAGTGCATCTCCCCTGGACCTGCCTGCGGACTGCGGCCACGCCCGGGCGGGCACGGGGCCGGGCGCCGAGCCTGGCGCAGACAGGCCTCCTGCTCCCAACACAAGAGGAGGCCCCCTCCCCTCGGAGGCCAGGCCATCCGCCCGCCTCCTTCCCCACCAGCGGGCCGGCAGGTCCGGAGCCCAGCCCGGCCGCGAGAGCCTGGGCGGCTCGCGCCGCGTGGTTACCTGGCCGAGCGCCCCGGGAAGCTTCGGGCGCCTTGGCCCCTGAGCTCGGGGCCCGGATCCCGGGAGCAGGAAGCAGCGGAAAGAGAGAGAGAGGACGAGGATCTGACGGCGGCGGCGGAGGAGTCAGGGGTCTGGGGGCACCTGGTGGCTGGGAGGACGGAGCGCAGAGCCGGAGCTGGACGAAGGACGTTCCTAAGGAAGCCGGAGGGTCCTCGTTCTTCGCGCAGGGCTGATTATGTGCGTGTGTGTGTGTGTGTGTGCGTGTGTGTGTGTGTGTGTGTGAGAGAGACCTACGGGTGACGTGAGACCTGCAGGCTGTTGTCCTTGTTTGTTTGTTGTTGTCTGTTTGAATAATTAGCCATCCCGCCCCAGGGGGCAGCCCATCCAATAACCAGTTGTTGAGCACCTACTAAGAGCTTGCACTCCTACTAGGCACTGTGGGAGATGTAAGACATAGTCCCTGCCCTCATGCTTGAGCCTAAATTGTGAAACAAGCACACAAATAACTAATTCCCAGGAAAGTGCTCTGGCCTGGGGATTAGAAGTTATTCCTCTTCATTTCAGCCCTGTCACCAACTTGATGGTAGAGCAGTATAAGGCTTAAGAATAAACCCGGCTTGGTTACTGACTGTGTGTCTTTGGGCAAGTTACTTAACTTTTCTGTGCCTCGGTTCTCTCATCTGTAGAATGGGGATAGTAATAAGAGCTATCTCATAAGGTTATTGTGAGAATTTTACACGTGTAAAGTGTTGAGAACAATGGCTGGCACATGGAAGTGACTATATAAATGTTAATTATTGTTGTCATTATGTCACTTTGGGTAAATCCTCTCTCCGCTCTGGATCTATTTTAGTACCAAGGAAAGTACGTTTGAAGAGATGATCAAACATATATGGAGGCTCCAATGGGGTAAAGAGGGCATCTGGCTTGGTGGACTGGAACCCACAATCATGGGGTGCTGAGGGGCCAAGACAATCTTAAAAGAGAAGACTTTGAGCAGAGATGTGAGAATTTAAGCCATGTCTAGGGAATAGTAAATAATCTAGTTTTGGACATTTGTCTTGCCAACCCTTCAAGAGTAAGGATCACACTGTTTTCATCTTTGTTTTTCTAGTACTTGGTAAGAGGCAGGTACAATAATATTTTCTGGTTGAATGAATGGGAAATGAGCCCCAAAAAGTACATCGGAAGCATTTTGTGGCTCCTAAACCTCATTGATCATCTATACCACTTGGGAAGTGTTTTCAAATACCCTTGTGCAGGCTGCACCTTGAAGATTATGATTTAGCAGGTCTGGTGTGGGACCCAGGAATCTGTATCTTTTAAAACCTGCCCAGGAGTCTCGCAGATGATCAGTCACATTTGAGAATCACTGCTGTTAGAGGACCTTAAAGGACTAATACCAGCCTAAGATGCCAGGCTGAAGCATCTTATTATGTGGATGACAGGAAATATATAATGTTATTGAGCCAGGGAATAATTTTATCATGTTCTCCAAGCCTTTGCTACTCAAAGTGTAGTCCACTGGCCAGCAAAATCTGCATCACCTGAGAGTTTGTTAGGAACACAGAATCTCAGACCCTAACCCCAGTCCTACTGCATTGGAATCTGCATTTTAACAAGGCCCCCAGTGGTTTGTATGCACATTTGGGCAGTGGTTCTCAACCTGGATAGCACAATACGATCACTTGAGGAGCTTTTAAAACTCCCAATGCCCAGGCCACACCCCAGACAAAGTAAATCAGAATCTGTGTGGGTATTAATCTTTTTAAAGCTCCCCAGGCGACTCCACTGTGCAACCAGAGCTGAGAATCCTTGCTGTACACTCAACTAAAATTGGTATAAGATGAATTGGAGAAGACAGCCTGTTACAGTGGGTTGGAATGGACCAGATAAGAGGTAATGATAGCATGAAGAAAGAAAACCTGGAAAGTCCGTTTCACTAAAGGGATAGTTTGCAAATTTCAACCCTATCCCCACTGGTTTTTGTTGTAGTATTTTTTTTTTCTTCTAGTATCTGAACCTGGAACTTTCTTTTTGCTGTCACCATTTACCAGGAAAGAACAGAGTATTAGAGGCTTCAGGAGTCTAAGGGCTGAGGGGGTAAAGGAAGGTGCCAATTCTTCCAGTGGAGCCCTTATTGGGCCTTTATCCTAGGGTGAGTAGGATTCCAGGTTCAAGCTTCATCACCTGGGATTAAGTTTTATTAATTTATATATCTTTGGCCACAATCCTTGCTCCATCATATCAGATCCTTGTCAACAGTGGCATCCCCCAGAAAAGTTCGGGGCTGTTAGGGAGAGCAGCGGATAGGAAGCTCTCCACCAATTTACTTTAATAACAATGACAATAATAATCATAATCACAATAATAACAGATAACACTTATTAATATGCCAGGCATTGTTCTAAGCACTTATATTAACTTGTTTAATTCTTACAACAACTCTACGAGATGGATACTATTGTTATGCCCATTTTATAGGTGACAAACTGAGGCACAGAGCAGTCAAGGAACTCGCCCAAGGTGGCAGGATTTGTAGGAGGCAGATTTGGTTTTGAACACAGGCAATATGGCTCTGGAGGCCATGCTCTTAACCACCGAGACATGCTGCCTCCACTCGACTAGAATGTGCTACAGATGTGTACTGTATTTGTCTGTATCCACAGCTCCTAACCTCAGTGAAGGGCATTAGAAGTTGTTTAGAGGAAATAAAGGAATTAAATTGTTAAAAATCTTAGTTGCCTATGATGTACTAGTCACAATGCTAGTCATGGGGTTATGGAGAAAAAGAGACAGCCTCAACTACAAGGAGCTCACCATAGTCAAGTAGGAGAAGCAGAAGAGTCAGCAAATGCAGTACATGAGATATAATATGAGCATGCAAAGTGCACAGCGGGGAGAGGCACTGAAGCTCGAAACCTGGGGGCTCAGGGCAGGATTCCTAATTTGAGTCATGGGACCAAGTTTATTCTTAGGGTTGGACCAAAAGTCCTTAGCATTAGGAGCCCACAGCTAGGCCCACCGGTCTTGAGTCAACTAAAGATCGAAGTATGAAATAAAGTTTGAAAAGCAGCAGCAACAAGCCTTTTCTCCTTTCTGTCCCCTGAGACAATGACTGGTTGTTGCTCTTAGATTCTCTTGTGCCTGATTAGATGCTGAAGAAGCTAATCAAGTTTCACTTAAACTTCACTGGAACTATGAGTTTTATGGAATCATGCAGACATGAAAGGTAAGTCAATACTCACTTTCAAATTTGACTCTATTCAGCAACTGTCCAAGTCAATGGACAATGGAAGCTACTGGAGGCTGAGCAGTTAGGCTACAATTCTGTTTATTTCTTTCATAAGAACAATGGTCAAATAGAGAGCTCAGAAATAGACCCCCATAAATATAGTCAACTGATCTTTGACAAAGGAGCTAAGACAACATGATGGAGAAAAGATAGTCTCTTCAATAAATGGTGCTGGAACAAGTGGACATCCACATGCAAAAAAATGAATCTAAACACAGACTTTATACCCTTCACAAAAAGGAACTCAAAATGAATCATAGACCTAAAGGTAAAACACAACACTATAAAACTCCTAGAAGATAACACAGGAGAAAATACAGATGATTCTGGGTTTGATGATGCCTTTTTAGATACAACACCAAAGACACGATCCATGAAAGAAATAATTGATAAGCTGGACTTCATTAAAATGGAAAACTTTTGCTCTGCAAAAGACAATATCAAGAGAACTAGAAGACAAGTCAGACTGGGAGAAAATATTTGCAAGACAGGTCTGATAAAGGGTAGTTATCCAAAATATGCAAAGAACTCGTAAAACTCAAAAGTAAATAAAACAAACAACCCAATTAAAAAATGGGCCAAAGACCTTAACGGACACCTCACCAAAGAAGATATACAGATGGTAAGTATGTGAAAAGATGCCCCACATCATATGTCATCAGGGAAATGTAAATTAAAATAACAATGAGATACCACTACATACCTCTTAGAATGGCCAAAATCCAGAACACTGACAACAACAAACGCCAGCGAGGGTGTGGAGCAACAGGAACTCTCATACCTTGTTAGTGGGAATGCACAATGGCACAGTCACTTGGGAAGACAGTCTGGCACTTTCTTACAAAAGGAAATATACTCTCACCATATGATCCCATTCCTTGTTATTTACCCAAAGGAACTAAAAATTTATATCCACACAACAACCTGTACATAGATATTTATAGTAGCTTTATTCATAATTGCCAAAACTTGGAAGCAATCAAGATGTCCTTCAGTAGGTGACTGGATAAATATACTGTGGTACATCCAGACAATAGAATATTATTCCATGCTGAAAAGAAATGAGCTACCAAGCCACAAAAAGACATAGAGGAAGCTTAAATGCTTATTACTAAGTGAAAGAAGCCAATCTAGAAAGGCTATACAGTCATGCGCCACTTAACAATGGGTATATGTTCTGAGAAATGGGTCATTAGGCAATTTTGTTGTTGTGCAAACCTCACAGAGTGTACTTACCCAGACCTAGATGGTATAGGTTACTACACATCTAGGCTATGTGGTAATAATCTTATGGGAACACCATCATATATGTGGTCCGGTGTTGACCAAAATGTTGTTAGGTGGCGCATGACTGTATACTATACAATTCCAGTGATGACATTCTGGAAAAGGCAAACTATGGACACAGTAAAAAGATCAGTGGTTGCCAAGGGTGTAGTGGGGAGAGAGATGAATAGGCAGAGCACAGAAGATTTTTAGGGCAATGAAAATGCTCTGTATGATATTCTAATGATGGATATGTGATTATACTTTTGTCCAAACCTGTAGAATGTACAACACCAAAAACGAACTCTAAGGCAAACAGTGGGCTTTGAGTGATTATGATGTGTCAGTGTAGATTCATCAGTTGTAACAAATGTACCACTTTAGTGGGGGATGTCGATAATAGGCGAGGCTATGGACGTGTGGGAAATCTCTGTACCTTCCTCTCAATTTTTTTATAGACCTAAAACTGCTCTAAAAGTATCGTTAAAAAAAATGGATGAAAACTGGAGTCCTGGACAGTGCAGGAGAACAACTTTCAGCACTCACCTGAGCAAGATGTCAAGGTAGCCAGGATTTCTGCAGGAAAGGGTCAGCTCTGGCAGCCATGAGTATACAAGGAGGAGTGCACACGTGCATGTGTGTGTGTGCAGAGATATGCACAGATGGGTTCATGGGGGCGGAGTAGTCCCTTCATATACTTAAATTACTGCTGAGGGCTCCTCTTGCTATCTCTTTGCTACATACCTAGCCCCTTTCAACTAGCCCTTTTCTTGAGAAAGTAACCACTACCAAGAGGCCTTCTCCTACTTCATAAATGAAATATTAGTTACTATAAGCCCCATTCAAACATCAGGGACAGTTAACTCTTATTCATGTATAGGTTTGCCATTTGGATATTATTATTTGCAAACAATGTTTGATCCCAATTTTAGTTTTTCCCCTTTAGCCATCACATTTTTGAAGGGTCTCCCTTTCCCACAGGTTAGTGTTTATCTCAGGAATGGTAACTATTTAAATTTTTATTAACCTAAGAAAAACCACAAGGATAGCTTCCTTGCCCATCAACCCCCTTACCAAAAGTCACAGTGCATTCCAAAGCCAAATAGATTTGATTATTGAATTAAATATCTCTTGCTTTCCATTGTGAATAATGAATAATTGACCTTTGGGATATCCGGGATATGAGCTGTTAGCCTCAGACTCCACTTCTTAAGTGTCCGAATGACGTGACCTTCAACATTTACCATTCTCCCACTTACAAAATGAGCCCATCTCTTGCCTATTCTGCCCTCAAAGTAGTTTTATCAAAAAGAGTAAGAACTCTGAACTCTTCAGAGCCCTGTATTAATGTTTGTCATCTTTAGCATCCGTCTGGAGAGTAATAGACTTAATGCACCAATATGAAATATTTTCCCCATCCCATTTCATTATATGCACTCACATCACCCCCACAACAAAAGACACAGAACAACAATCTAAACCTCTTCTTATCAATAGAGGAATAGTTTATATCATCACTATACAAATTTATTTAGAAACAGAGAGATTCCTTTGAATCTCAACATTTCCTTGGATATGCAGTCTTTTTTTTAAAAAAAGTCACCATTTCTGGAATGGCTTCATGTTACATCTCTACACACTGGCCCACAAAGAAGGAGACTAGAGAAAATGTTCCCAAGAAGTCAACAAGGATCCCCAGCCCATGTGGGAACTCTTGTGGGAGCTAGCACAGTATTTCACACTTTGGTATTTTTTCCTTTCTTTTTTTTGAAAGAAGATAAAATATTACAGAGACATCCTCAAAATTCACACCTGAGTTAAACATTTTGCTGGAAAACTCCACAAGAAGGAGAGAAGAATATAATGTAAAAACAGGAAAGGGCTATATACAAGTATTTTGCCAGCATAATTGTTGCATGTTGGCTTTTGTGTTCTTCTTTCTGCAGCCAGGAGAAGGGAGAGAGGACGAGATGAGGAGAAACAGAGGGAAGGAGAGGAGGAACGAGCACTGCTGAACTCCAGGCAGGTGTAGCAGACAGAAGAGCAGCTGTGGGCAGAGAGATGCACCTGGGGACTGAAGGTGGCTCAGCCGTCTGTCAAGAGAAGGGAACTTGGAGAACTTAATCATCGATGGATTTGGTTCTAGAAAGGGGGGCAGGGCTAAAAGGAAAATGGGGTGAAATCATGATTCAGTCAGACAACTTTGCTGAACAGAGAAACCATCAAGGCTTTGGCGGAGACATCAGATTCAAATCTTTCCACAGATTTTAGAATCAGTTCAGAGATTGTGGCTAAGTTCAGAGTCAAAATCGTTGTCTCCCCTTCTGGTTGTTTGGCACACCGAGCCAATGGCTGTCCCCAGAAGCCCACAGATGAGTTGGAGAATCATGGTAAGAAGTCCTTTCTCTAAAGATAACTGCCACAGTGAAGCCGTCTAAAATATTTAGAACTAGAGGATAAGGGCACAGACAAGGAAGGGGAAAGTGGCAAACTCCTAGGAGGGGTACATATTTCAAGAGCACTAGGAGTCAGCACATGGGTCAGTCACAGTTTGGATCTCCAGAGGCCCTCGCTCCTGAAGAAGGCAAGAATTTGGGTTCATTGATAGTGGGGATTCTCTGCCACTCTTCTGAAAGTAATCTGTCCATACAGAGAAGGTGTGATTCCCTCCCTTCCAGTGGGGAATACAGGGCCAGGTGGAACAGGAGAAACTTTTTGGTCTCAGTGGAGGTAGGTGGGATGATTCCATCGGTACCAAGATCTGGAAGGAAGAAAGAAACAGGTCAATCGTGAAGCTGCTGATGTGATGAGGGAAGATGGGAACGGGCAGTGACTGCTCACAGGTTTCCTTCTAGAGTGGTGAAAATGTTCTGGAATTAGCTAATGGTGATGGTGGCACAACCTTGTGAATATACTAAAAACCACTGAAGTGTACACTTTGGATTGGTAAATTTTATGGTATGTGAATTACATCTCAAAACAAGTTTTTAAAATGTACATTGTACGGTTTTTCTCTCTTTTTTTGGTGGAGATGGTTGAGGAGCTCCAACTTTTTGCGCTGTGCAATGATTGGCCAATAAGAGCTGGCTGCCTTGCTGAATGGCCTGGGTTTGGACAAGTGGATTCATCTCTTCCGACAAGGTCAAATCTTTAATCTATCGCTCAACTTTCAAATCTCTGTTTTGCTTTGAATCAAGGAAGAATCTCTTAAGGCATCTGCTTTGAGAATACTTTTTAGAGTAGATTCTTTGGCCCAAGAGGCTGCTTTTCCCACTGCATCCCAGGTGGGAGCGTGGGATAGGGAGCAGCCCCACTACCCTCTCTCACTGTGTCAGCCACACTCACAGCTCAGGCTCACATCAGAACACTCAAGAACAGAGTTCCTGGCATGAAGTGGAGCACTCCTAAGCCCAGTGAAGGACCTGGCCCTTTCTGACAGGAGTGTTTGGAAATTTCCACCCTCAAAGTGAGGATGGAAATTTTGGCTTTGTTGACATCAGCTCCTTGCCAGGACTGCTCACTGGCTGAAGCTTCTCTTTTAAAGCCCACTCCCTAGGGACAAAGTTCAGTCTGGCTCTCCATCTCTCCCCTCCCTGTCACCTCATTCCTCTTTTCCAACCCCGTGACGAGTTTTCTTTCCCAAGGTATTGACCCAGACCCAGCTTCTCCCATAGTCCCTTAGCCCTACTGGGATGTCGCTGTACTCTGCCCTCCCTCTTACCCCGAAGAGTTAAAGCTGGAGGAGGAGTTCACTGCTGCTTTGGAGTTATTTTGAGATGCAGTGGGGCTGCTGGCGTGGAGTCCTGAGCCAGGAGACGAAGGACTGCTGTTGTTCCCAGGGGAACAGGATGACGTTACTGAGGACGAGGAGAGGCAAAAAAAAAAGGGGGAAATAATGCGGCTGGGTCCTGGGACCTTGTGACATGGCCCTTCAGACTTGTATCCCCCAAGGGATTCACTCTCTCCCTACCCCGCACCCATCGCCCACTTCCTACCACGTTAGCATCAACGCCCGGCCCCAGAGGGGCTCTCATCATAACTGCTCTCCTCAGCCCAGGCCTTGGAGAGTGGCATGGCTGGTTCTGCAAGTCCAGCACTTGCCAAACGCAAAAAGGACAGATGCCAAAATCATCCTACTCCAGGACACACCCTGGGCTGGGCATATGCAGCCAGACCAAGAGGAGGGGCAGGAAAAAGAACAAGAAGCTTTGGAAAGGAAGAGAGGAGGAAAGAAAGAAAAGTGCTCAGGGGAGGAAAAGAGAATCGGAGAGCACAGTTAAAGATTGCTGGCCTCTCTAGCGCTCCCATCTCTACAAAGAAAAGGTACACGGTCTTCTAGAAAGAGCACAATCAGGAGTGAGGAAACTTGAGTCTCAGTCCTCAGCCATTCACCACTTAGCTTTGTGGCCTGTGGTGACTTGCTTCACTTCCCTGAAACTCATTTTTGTCCTCTGAAAAATGGCACATTTGGATTAAACTGAATTCTTGTGTTTGGGTTTCCCAAACAGTGTTCCTTGGATAAGGTGACATATATTTTCCCATCGAAGCTAAGATACTTTGAAGAGTGGAAGGCAGTGCTATTGATAATTATATCCAGACAAGAAGCAGACACTGGGATTGTCTGGGCATATCCAGACAGATGGCCACCCTAGCTAGTTCTTTGAAATGCTATAGGTACTTTTTGAAAAATTGAGTTCTCTAGAAAATTAGTTTGGAAAATCCTGCTTTCCATACAATTCATTTAGGAATGTATAATGCACTTCAGAGCTGACAAGTGCTACAAAATAAAAAACAAACACTTGTTTAAACTTTGCTTCTTCAGCATTTCCCAAACACTGGATCACGGAGGCCTTTTTCTCCTGGCACTGATTTTAATATCCTTTGAAATACAGTTAGGGAATGCTGACTTAGGTAGGTATATTCAGTTCTAATATTCCATTATTTAAAGGAACTGTGATGTTATTCAGAGACCTCACTTTAAAGCTCACCTGTTCCAGGCATGGTGCTGTGGACAGGAGGGACAGAGAGGGGGCCCAGAGCCCCAGAGGGAGAGACCTGAAAGGCAACAGAAGCTTGTCAATGTCCATTTCCACTCCCTCCTCCAGCCTCGGGCGCTTCTCCCAGGATGCTGGGCCCCAGACTCTGCAGAGACCAGAGCTCAGCTTCCTTGAGGATTTCCTAATTCCAAACCTACACTCTGTCCCCCATTTCATAGGAAGGCCCCTGGACCACATACAGCATCCAGCTGTAGCTCTGCGCTGCTGCTGACAGGCCCTGCCTTCCCTGTTGTGTGTCCCCTGGCAAGCTTCCTTCAGCACGGCCAGGTTGAAGGTGCCGTGCTTGAGTGCTCCGGCTATGAGAGGAGCGCTCCTCTTGGACCCTGCTGTGGCAGACCTGCCAGTTGGCTGCCTATTTTCCAGTCCCCATTTGTTCATTCCTAAAAGGCTCTTGCATTTGCTCAGGGCAGCAGAGTGCCTGGCCCTACCAACCCTGTTTCAGGCTTCCCACCCTGATGCACGAGTGGACCATCGACTCTCCGGAGATAACCAGAGAAGATGAACTTTGGTCTCTGAAGCTTTTCATTTTGCCCTGGAGACCGTAGAGCATCATGAACTCTGAGATTTGGAAAGGACCTGAGATAATTTGGTTTAACCTCCCACACAGTTCAGGAATCTCCCCTCAGTATCACTATCCTAGAACAATCCAGAACAAGATGAAATAGAAAGAATGGACTTTGTAGCCTGACACATCTGGGGGTGAGACCTGGCTCCACCACTAACTGTCTGTGGGACTTCGGGCAAGTTACCTAACCCCACTGAAATTTGGTTTTCTCATCCGTAAAATAGCAGTAATACCTCCCTTATATTTTCTTTTAATTAAGATTTAATGAGATAATGTCCATAATGCTTCCAACTCAATGCCTGGCAAAGAATGCTGGCTTGTTAAATGTTAGTTCCCTTCTTGCCCAAAGGACGCTGTCAATTGCTGTGTGTCTAGACGCTGTTCACTTCATCATCTGAGCTGAAATCTGCATACTTTCCCTCTCTCTTATTCTTCTCATGCTGACAGGGGCAGCTCTGATCAATGTTTTCAAAGGACATGGAAAGAAGTTCTGCTCAGGGAGCCATGATATGCTATTCCTCCCCTCCCGAGTTTGGAACATCCCATCCGAACAGGATGCGGCATGTCCTCATCTCCTAATTAATCAGCAGTGCTTCTGCTGGGTTCATGCACCTGTCCTTTTACAATGAGCCTCCTCAGTAGGCTGGGAGCCCACGAAGGGTGCAGCCAGGTGTGGGGCAGCGTGGTAAGAGATGTTATCACTAATCTCCCTCTCTCTGCTCCTCCTCCCTCCCTGCTGCCACACCCAAGAAATTTGTTGTTTTAAATAAATAATGTATTTAGTCACTGTGACCAGCTTCTACTGTTTCCTTCTGGAGACAGGCTATGCATATGCAAGCAGACATATACATTCCCCCTTTTTAATTTTTTCTATAAATAGTAGCATTCTGCCCACACTGGTCTGCACCATCTTGCCTGTTTTTTTTTCTTCCCTTAACTGCATATCTTGGAGGTCATTTCATATCAGAAGAAGAAACTATGTCCTGGTCCCAAAGAGACTGTGCCAATGAGACCTGAGGAGAAGGTAGGATCAGAACGTTTTTCTCTAGCCTCTTCCTTCATGACACTACAAGTATTCACGTAATTATTTATTTAATGTCTTCCTCCCCCACTAAGCTGTAAACTTCATGAGGGTAGGATGATGCCTGTGTGGTTCACTGCTCTATCCTCAGTGTCTGCTACAGTGCCTGGAACTTTGCAGGTGCTTAGCAAATATGTGTTGAATGAATGATGAGAATGAATGAGGCTCCTTCCAGGCTCCTCCATGCCTCCCACCACTTTTCTCCATGTTGATGTCCCGGGTTCGGATTGAACCAAAGCGAGAACCTACTTCCCATGTGCTCTAAACAAAGCAGCATCTTTAAAGATTCCAAAGCTCTTATGACATGGTTCAATTTCCTTAACATGGCCTACAACGCCCTACATAATCTAGCCTCCACCTACCACTCCAGCCTCCTCATTCACACTCTCTCTCACTCCCTGGGTTCCAACCCATTACAGCCTTCTATGCTTCCTCTCCCCACCCACCCCAGCCTGAGGGCCTTTGTGCACACTGTTTCCTCTGCCTAGAATGTTCTTCCCTACATTCTCTCCTCCCTGCATTACCCAACTCAGACTATTCCCCATTAATGTCTTCTGCTGTCATTTCAAGCATCTTTCCTCAGAGAAGCCCCTGACACCCTGGACTAGGTTAAGTCCCTCAAATACCCATACATCTTCTCTGGAGCCTTCATCACAAATAGCATTTGTTTATGTCTGTTTTCCCTCCTGGACTGTAGGCAAGGATCACATATGTCCTGTACACCACTGTATCCCGCTGCCAAACATATGGTGGGTGCTCAATAAATATTTAAGAAAGGAATGATGAAGGAATATCATGTTGCCTCCAACTTAAAATTGTCAATCGTTCCTCATAGCTTTTAGGATAATTTAGCATCCATGGCCCATCATGATCTGGCCCTCATCAACCTCTCTTTCTTAGTCCCAAACCCTTGGCTCCAACCAGCCTGAAATGCTTGTGATTCCCCAAATGCATCACACGTTGTGTTATAATTCCATGCCTTCTCACAGACTGTTCCTTCTGTCTGCTGTGCTGTTCTTCTCGCTAACTCTTAATCTGTTCTTCAGACAAATTAGGGGGTCAGCCCTCCCAGACCCCATTCTGATTTGGGTGACTTTCATCTGTGTATCCATAGCATTCCTACAAGACTCCTCACCTCTACTTCACCCCTCACATCTACTTCATTGCAATTTCTTGCCTTTTCTGGCTCCTCCTTCTCAGTTTCTTCCCTTGATCCTCTTCCTTTGCCTATCCTTCAAATGCTGGAGTTCCCCAGGGTTGAGACTTGCACTTTCCTCTTTGCTTCCTCTGCACAAACTCCATAGGTGAGCTCCTCCTCACCCAGGATTGCAACTCCCACCTGTATACTTATGACTCCCCAGTCCGAAGTCTACATCCCAGCCTTACCTCCTGACCTCCAGGCCCGTCATTCCAAGTGCCCAGTGACATTCCCACTTGGGTGTCCCAGAGGCCTCACTGTTTATCATAATGATGTAAAGAACTGAAACCACTTTTTCCTACTCCCAAACCAGCTCCTCCACCTGTGTTTGCTTTTCTATCAACGGCACCACATCTACCCAATCAGCTGAGCCTGAATACTGAGAGTCATCCCAGAGTATTCTCTCTCCTTCATCGCTCTCCCTGCCCACACCTGATTTTCAGTGTATTAACCAAGACCTAATAATTCTACCTTCTAATTATCTCCTGAATCTCTCCCATCACCCTCATTCTTACCACACAGCTTTGCCTCAGCCCTCATTATTTCTCTACTGGATAACCACAGCCACGTCTAACTGGTCTTCCTGCAACAAATCTTTTGCATCTCAAGACGCACTTTATACTGCAGTCAGAGCGATCATTCTGACAAGCAAATCCGATCATGCCAATGCCCTGCTTAACGTCCTTCAATGACTCCTCCAAGCCTTCAAGCTCCTTAGCATTGCACACAGTCTCCTAGTCTTGTCTTTGCTGATCTATCCAACCTCATCTTCCAATATTCCTCCATGTGGAACCACCTGTGGTTTCATGAATGTGCCACATATTCTCCCTGCTCCATACCACTGTTTTCATCCTTTCCCCTGGTGAGAACACCACCTCCCACTTACTCACCTCGTCACTCCTTCTTGTCCTCTTAGACTCAGGTATTAATTATCTCCTTGGAGAAGCATTCCCTAACCACCACCTCCCAAGGCATTGTTAGCTGCTGCTTCTAAGTTCTCCTAGAGAAATTGTCACATTGTTTATCACTTGTTTATTTGTTTATCTCCTCTGCTAGGCAGAGGTCCTCTCAGACAGGGGACAAATACTTATTTGCATATTCCCAGCACTCCACACAAAGACCAATATAGAGTAGATGGTCAATAAGTGTTTGGTGAAAGAATGAACGATGGTGTAGTTTTCATGAAACAGCTATGTCCCACCCTGGACAAGGCTGAATTTCATCCACCCTTGAGTGCTGAAAGACTTGAGGACAACACCATTATCCCCAACTACCTTCACCTTCCAACCATCGTTGTCCCCAGGGACAGAGAACCCTCCCACCCCCACCTACCAGGCACCATTTCTCTCCTGGATGTAGAAGATATTTCCTACTCTCCAAACTTCCAAGTCTGCCTAAACTGAAAATTATTCCCAGCCCTGGCTTCTCCCCTGAACACCAGAATCATAGATATAACTGTCTACTTGATACTTCCTCTCAGATGCCAAGGAGGCATGTCCAACATAATATGAGAAGCTCCAAACTTTTAGTTTTCCCCCTCAAACCTGTTCCTCCTGCAGTCTTCATCAACTCAAAAAACTGCAGCACCTTCTAACCAGTTGATCAGGCCAAAACCCTTGAAGTCGTCTTCACCTCACTTCTCACTCTCTGTATCTTTTTTTTTTTTTAATTTAAAAAAAAATTTTATTTATTGATTTTTTCCCCCAAAGCCCCAATAGATAGTTGTATGTCATAGCTGCACATCCTTCTAGCCGCTGCATGTGGGACGTGGCCTCAGCATGGCCGGAGAAGCAGTGCGTCAGTGCGCTCCCGGGATCTGAACCCGGGCCGCCAGCAGCGGAGCGCGCACCCTTAACCACTAAGCCACAGGGCCGGCCCTCACTCTCTGTATCTGAACTATCAGCACATCTTGTTGGCTCCATGGTTGAAGTATTCAGAATCCAACCACTTCTCACCACCATGGCTACCACCCTAGCCCAGGCCTCCACTACTCTCAGCCTGATTATTGCGATGCTCCTGGCTGGTCTCCTGCTTCCACACAGATCATTCTCCACACAGCAGCCATGTCAGCCAGCTCAGGCTTCTCTGCTCAGAGCTCTCCAGCAGCTTCTTATTTCACTCAAACTAAAATCCAGGGTCCTTCCAATGGCCCCCAAGACCTTGGGTGGTCTGCTCCCTGCTACTTCTCTAACTTCATCTCCTACCTCTTGCCTCCTTCCTCGCTCTGCCCTGGCTACACTGGCTTCCTTGCTGTTCCACAAATGTGCCAGGTCTTTCCACTTGCTGGTCCCTCTGCTTGGAACACTCTTTCTCCCAGATATTTCATTCCCTTTCAACACTTAGGTATCTGCTCAAATGTCACCTTATCAGAGAGGTCCTCTCTGACCTCTTTATTAAAAAAGCATCTCCCCACTACCACTTTCTAGCCCCTTACGCTTCTTTATTCTTCTTTATATTATACATTTAATATAAGCATCTATTTGCTTATTTATTTACTGCATGCCCCCCCCAATCCCCAGCCTCCATCCTCCCCAGAATGGAGAAGACATCTTGCCCTCCAGGCATCATCTCCCCCAGTGCTTGGCAGGCAGCTTGGGTCCTGGCCACTCACCAGTCGGGAGTTGTAAATGGGTGATTTGATGGGTGTGGCCATAGGGCAGTTGATTCGCTTCTCCTTTTGGCGTCGGTTGCAGAACCAGACCCTCACCACCTCCTTCTCCATGGACAACTGCTCTGCAATCATGGAGATCTCCTCTGAGCTGGGTTTGGGGTTCTACAGAGACAGAAGGGACAGAGGGTGGTCAGGAGGCGAAAAGAATAGGGTCAAGAATTGGGGGTGCGGGACAGATCTTCCAACGAAGCAAGATAGAACAGGATAAAACAATAGATGGATCAAAAGCTTTAGAATCAGACCTAGCATGGAATACTGGCTTTATCACTTACTGTGTGTCTTAGGAAACTTTCTTAACCTCTCTGAGCCTCAGTCTTATCATCTATGAAATGAGAATAATAGTACCTACCATATAGGATTATTGTGAGGATTAAATGAGAAAATGTGTGTAAACTGCCAAGCACAGGGCCTGACACAGAGTACAGGCTCTATAAATGTAGCTTCTTTTCTGTCCTTCAGGAGAAGTTCTGGAAAGAGGGATCCATTGATGAGGTATATGGGGCAGGAAGAATCCCCAGAACCCATGCTCCCCTCTGTGTTCTTTCCTTATAACCTGATGATGTCCTTCTCTTTTGTCATTGCTTCCTGTCCTACCTCAAAATAGGAAAGGATAAAGCTAAAACATGTGGATCCATCAAGACTGTGGAGATTATATATATTTATATCTATCAATCACTGTCTTGTTCTGACCCCTCCCCTACCTGATCTGTGATGGCAGCCCCTTTCCCTCCCTCCTTACTCTCGTGCTCTGAGAAACCTAATCACAAGGAAAAGCCAGCTCTTGTCATCCTGCCAGCAGGATGCAGCCACGAATCCTTCAGCCAGATGCACTGGAGAATCTGCTGGAGGGGCAGCAGTCCTGGAGGCCTGGGGCTGCCAGCTCAGACCAGGCCACACGCACGTCCTTAGGGACCTGTGTGGTATGGATGGAGGCTCTGCAGCCTGGTACCTAAGGGATCCTGATTAGAAGCTGTTTAGACTACATCTGTTTTACCCTCTTCTCTCTCCCAGCTCCCACGGGGCACAGAGCTGGTATTATTAGCTTCCACATACTGGCTCAAGAATATGCTTTTGCTACAGGTTCCAAAAAAATGTATGTGTGTAGTATGATCACAGTATTTAAATGTGCGTGGAATAAAGAAATAGAAGGAAATACATGTAGATGGCATTTGGTGGTGGATTTTTTTCTTTCTACATCATGTATTTTCCTAATTGTTTACAATGAGCATTTATTACATTTATAGTTTGAAAAATACAAAACAATTTATAGAAAATAAAGAATTTATATGCAATGCCCTGGTTTTGCTCCCTTTACCTCAACTGGATACCTAGATACACCCTCTTCTGTATCCCATTCTTTAAATCTCCCAGTGAGAGAGACAATGGGCCCCAAAAAGAAGGCAGGGCAAGAAGGGTCAGTGGGGGAAGAAGTTGCTGGAACCCGAGACGAAGGGCAGCCTCAAACACCTGGAGAGGGAGTGTGTCTTTGCTATCTAACCCTTTCCCAGGGCAGGTGAATGGTGGCGAGGGGTTGGTGTCCAGGGGTCTGTGTGTGGAAGTGGGCCCACCCGCTCCCACCCAGAAGGGCCGCTCACATCTTGAAATCTCTTCTCCAGAGTCAGACGGATGTTGGTCTCGATGCTGGTCCGTTTCTTCCTCTTCCTACCAAACACTTCGCTGAGGGTGGGGTAAGAGCTGGGGGTGCTCACAGAGGGGTCTGATGGAGAGGATTCTGTTGGGAGGTGAAATCGCAAAGGAGGCTCAGAGAAGGGACTGCACGGCAGGTTCAGGCCCTGTTGTAATGGACTTGAGGTCCAACAACCCTTCCTGGTGGGTTCTGCAGTGGCATTTTCAGGACCAGCCCCCTCCCGCCAGCAGGGGAACTGGAACAGACAACAATCTTGCTTCTCTTCATTGCTCTGGGCAAAGGTCCTCCATGACTCCCACAGCAGTGTCTCCAGTGTTTGCGGTCATGGTTCAGGGACACCCAGACACCAGCGGCGTGTGTGGGTGTGAGTGGGTGCAGGCAGAGCTCCTACAAGTCACACTCGTGAGTCTGTCTTTTACAAGTATGCCTGGATGTGAATACCGAGTAAAATGTGAGCTGGCGTTTTGAGCTACAAGCAATGCCACTTGGTGGAGGGATTTTGGTGTTGAAGCCATTTTCCTTTCAGTGTAAGTGTTAGAGCTGAGGCTGTATGATCGATAGGCAGGGATATCCCTTAGGAAGGATTCAGGTGTCAGCTGTGGAATCACACTAGAAACAATCTATAAGGTCCTTTCCCAAAGACCCTAAGACTCTCTGATCATATCTCTCACTTCAGTGTTCCAATAAAAGCAGCCCAAGGGACAGCCTATAAGGGGACTTCCAAGAGGGTAACACCCCTGGCTGCACACCCCACCCTTTCCTCCTTCTCCACAGTAACCACTAATCCATACGTATCTATTGAATAGAGCCTAGCCCTGGCTCTGCTCCTTCCCTTTCCACCTAGACCAGTTGTTCTCAACCAGGGGCGATTTTGCACCACCATCACTCCCCCAGGGGACATTTGGCAATATCTGGAGACATTTTTGCATGTCTCAGTGGGGGGGTGGGTGCTACTGGCATCTAGTGGGAGGAGACCAAGGATGCTGCTAAATCTAAACACCCTACAATTCACAGGACAGCCTCCCACAACAGAGAATTATCTGGCCCAAGATATTGATAGTGCCGTGGTTGAGAAACTCTGTCGCATGCTATTCCCTGACACCAATTCTTCTATTTGTTATTCCAAACACTTTGCCCTTGGTTTACACCTTTGACCTCCTGAAATGCCTCCCTGGCCACCACGCCTGACTGAATCCTCCTGCAAACCCCACTCCTGCTGTACGGCTTTCCTGACCAGTCTAGCTCACAGTAACTCCCTTCCCTCTGAGAACCTACTCAAGAATTAGCCAGGTAAAGATCTTGTATGGTGCCTATCATCTCCCCATCCCAGCCATGAGAACCCACTTCCCTGTCTCCCTGACCTAGACCTAGTCCACACAGCAGTCTGGGTAAGTGTGTTATCTCTGCAGACCAAACTTTGTCTCTGGTGAGCTGTCCTAAGGCCTAGGCTGGGTGGGTCTGGGGCAGGGAATGGGATGGAGACAAGTCTTCATGGCCACAGACCTCCAAAGGGCTTTATCAGTGACAAAGCTGATATTTTCATTTCCACTTACCCGTCTCCTGGGTCTTATTTCTCAGTTGGTTCCAGACTCAGGAGGAGAAGAAAGGGATGTTATGTATCGACTGCCTAAAGGCCCAACACAGACAGTCACCAGCCCCTTCCCTGCAGAATCCTCTAGGGTATCAGCCATGCTCTGTCCCTGAGGTCTACCTGCATCATTCAGCCACTTCTCCAGCAGCGGTTTCAGTTTGCACATGTTCTTGAAGCTCAGATTGAGGGCCTCAAATCGTGAGATGGTGGTCTGGCTGAAGTCATTGCCGTAAAGCTTTCCCATCGCTAGCCCCACGTCTCCCTGCACATGGGAATTGAGAGGGAAGAATTTGAGAGAGAGGCTCCTTCTCTTATTTGTCTACAACCCCCACCATCCTAGCACCTACATGCACCCAGAGAACTTTCAAGCACCCACTCATCACCTCACTCCTTTCCAGGTTTTTTCCCTCTAAGATGGAGAATTGGTTTACTTTTCTCCCTAGACTCCATGTGCCTAGCCCCTAGCCTGGCCCTCGTTCCTCTCCCCTCCGCCAGCAGTGTCCCCACTTTCCCTACCAATGGCAACTGTGCCCTATTCTCAGGGAACACAGGGACATGATGGGCTTGCCCCAAACACATTGAGCCCCAAACACATTGCTCTTGAAACCTGCACTCGGGAAGGCCAGTCTCCACTCACTTAACCCAATTTCTTCCATCTCCTCCCCCTAAACCAAACCTGTGTGAAGCCCAGCTTAATGCGTCTCTGCTTGAAGGTCTTGGCAAACTTCTCCAGCTCTTCCAGGTCACTGGGCTCGTCGGCCCCTCCCGAGCTGGGTAGATGCTTGGGCACTGGGAGATGCTGGGACGCTTCCAGGTGGGGTTCTAAAGAGGATCCTGGCAGCCCGGGGCGCCCAACTGCCTAAGAGGGAACACATGCCAAGCAGATCCATGAATAGTCAACAGGTCAAATGGCATTTTCTGATATTTCATACTAATAGGCCCACTCAGAGGATGACAGATCCCTGGGGACATTTGATTCCCATTTTTTCAATGGTGTGAAAGCGGGAATTGGAGTTTCAATGAAGGGGCAGTAAATAGCTAGAATAGCTGGGGTAGAAACAGTAGGAGTGTGGAACAGGGAGGTGGCCTTTCTGGGTTTGAGCCTATGACTCACTGTTTGACTCTGAGCAGGTGACTTCCTTCTTACAGTTTTCCACCATAAAAGGAGCTAGACGGGTTGTTCACAGAGATTCCGAAAACAAATCTCAGAATGGGATGAGGAAAAGGTTGTTTGCCTTGCCTGTTCTTTTCCACAAAGCAAAGTAACTGAGGTATTTGGCAGGCATTAACTGAAGATAACAGAGGGCATCTGAGACTCTCTGCATTGATAGAATTTCCATAAAATTTCAAACTCGTGTGACTGCCACTTTACTTTCCAAATCATCATTTTCTTTCATGAGAGTGTTTTTTGCTTTTTTTTTTTTTTAAGTCAAAGGTATTCCAGTGCTATCTGAATGCACCTTGATCTCATTCCTGGTTGTCAGCAGATATTCTTTCTTTAACTTATTTTCATAGGAAAATGGACCCTTAAACCTAGAACCCATATCGTGCCCATTTGGGATCAGGAGTGAAGACATCTATCACTCCACAAAGAAGGAGGGGACCCCACTGTGTCCAGTGCAGGGGCCACTGCACATGTGGATAACTTGACCTAAGTCCACTCTCTTCTCCCTCCTTTCCAGTTTACTCTTTTCCTAGACTGAGGTCAACTTTACTCCTTCTTTCTTCCAAAATATTCAGGTTTACCATTCAGATAGGCCTCCTTATGAAGAGGAAGGTAAAAGGACTAGAGAGAAGTTAAAGTCTCTTTTCCCCAGTGAAGGGTCTTTTAGAACAGAATGATTTGAAATGATTATGGATTTGATCCCGTTTGCAGAGAGGGGGTGGCATAGACCAAACCGTCAGGACAAAGCCTCAGTTCTCTTTGAGGCTTCTTTTTCGTTAATTCATTTGTTCTTTCATCTGACAAACACTGACTGAGTTCTTTGCTAGACCTTCTCCCCCTTCATATCCAATCAGATGCCAGACTGCACTGATTCAACTTCCCTAAACGTCTCCTCACTCATCCCCTCCTCTCTATTCTTATTGCCACAATCCTAAGCCAGTCATTTCTTACCACTGCCCAGGATGTTCTTAGTCATCTTCTCAACTGTCTCTCTGCTTCTGGTCTCTCCCGGCTCTCATACTATAAGATGCGAGAGTTGATTTTAAGGACTCCCTAAGATCTCTTCCAGACCTAAGTTTATGGTGATTATGAGGAGAGCAGTCAGGAGGAAGTAGGAGAGCTTTTGATTCCAGTGTCCCCATTTCTGTTAGCCACTAGATGGCACCCTCCTCCCTTCCAGATGTCTTCAGTGGACTAGCCCTCTAAAGCCCTGGCTCTTCATGACCCATGGGAATCTTAGCACAGAGAAGGGACTTTAGGATCTCTGCAGTCATTCCCAACTCTTCTGCAAACCCATCTCTGCAGAGCCATCTCATGCAGCTGTGAAGATTGTTAACTGCACAGGGCACCCAGATGAGGGGAACAGTGGCAGCTACGACATAGTTGCTGCTACTCTCACCAAGTCATATACACTGGGGTGAGGCTGTGTCTGGCTGTGCCAGAGGAAGAGGTGTCTTTTTTCTAATCAGCAGACAGGTGCTCCGTGGAACCATGCAGCTCTGCAATCGGCCTCTCTCGCGGACCTCAGTCCTCCTGACCTGCCACGTGCCCACTGCAGGAGGCAGTCTAGAATAGCAGATCTTAAGAGAGGCCTAGAAGTGAGAGCCACTGGCTTTGTGGTCTTGGGACTTCAGGCCTATGGGACTCTGGTCTCCCCCTTAGGGCTTGGGAGCACCCAGGCAGGGCTGGCAGTCACCTTGGCTTCCCTGGAGAGTTAGCTGACCCCTGGTTCTAAGAGGAGTGATGCTAGGGCCTGATTGGGGCTGGAGCAGCGTGGCTGCATTACAGAGCATGCTGGCCAAGGAGCTGAAATCTCTGGGTTCTCATTCTGGCTCCACCAGTAACATTGGGTCAATCATTTCTCCTGGCTGAGGCTTAAATTTCCTCATGTGCCAGCAGGGATAATCCCTGGATTTTCCCTCTTCCCAGAGGGGTAAGTGTACTGTCAATGGAGTGGGAGAAAACCAATGAGCTTACTCTGTCAAGAGCTGAGACATTCCTAGAGGAAACAGGAGGAATGCAGTTGTTTACCTGGGACGCCAGGCCAGGCCCAGTCTGCGGGAGGAGGAGAGAGCCTTGTTGCTGTGGAAAGGGGAGAAGATTTGGCTGCAGACCTGGGTGAAAGGGGAGGGACAAAGGAACAATGGAATAAAATCCAGGCCATCTGAAAGACATGCTCTACAACTTTGGAACCACGATAACTGTCCCCACCCCCTGCTACCTAATGAGGTCCCTCAACCCACCTCAAGCCCCGTGGAGAGGCCCCCACGGGCACTGCCAGGCATTGCCACACACAGGTGGAGGCAAATCAGACACAGGGATAAACAGATGTAAACTGCAGTCCCCAAACCAGTCCTTCTGCTTGCCCGCCTGCCTGGAGTGGTGTAAAGGCTGAAGAGGATCAAGACAATCTGCTCTGGGATCTGATAACCAGGGCTGAAGAAATCCAAGAGGAAAGGAAATGCAGGGGGTGACTACTATGAATTCAAGCTGGAGCCGAGGATTTCCTTTTTGCCTGCAGAAGTAGCTGGGATGGCTACAAAGCCCCAGTCAAAGCCGCAAGGATGTCAGACCAAGTGGATGGGGCCATACAGCTCCAAAGGGCAGTAGACCATTGGCCAGAGGCTCTTGGCAGAACCAGGACATTTTATACTTGGGAGGAAGGGCTAAGAGAGAAGAGAAGACCAGAGGTCAAGCTTCTGGAAATTCAATCTGGTGGTGTGAACTCTACCTGCTCGCTGCACTGCCTGAGGACCACTTTTCTCTCTCCCTCTGCAGGGAAACTGTCCATGAAGGGCTCTGCCTGGTTGGTGGTCATGACAATGGCCTCCCTCTAGGAAGGGCCATAGCCAGGAACTCTCACTGTCACTGCGGGAATGGGGCCATCAAACTACCAAAGCAGACAATGGGGCAGGTCACCCCAATCACTCAGCACAGAGCAGAACCTGGGGTCTCTGTCGTCCCTAAGCTGTTCTGGGGTCACCGAGGTACAGCATTGTGCTGACCTTTATGCTCCTCAGCATTAAAAAGTCAGAGCTTAATTTTTCCTTATTAAAATAAATAGGCAAAAAAGCTCTTATAAGGAACCCTGGACTGGGAGTCCAGAGGCTTGACTACTAATAGTAGCCTAACATTTAGATTGCATTTTGAAGTATACAAAGCCTTTTCACATGCATTACTTCAAATAACCCTCAATAACCTTGTGAGGTGGAGTTTTACTATTATTCCATTTTTATGGAGGAGGAAATGGAACCTCAGAGAGGTTAGGTAAGTTTCCCAAGGACACACAGCTAGTAAGTGATTTTTTTTTTTTTTTTTTTTTTTTTACCAATGAGTTTTTCTGACTCCAAATTTTAAACTGGGGTTTTTTTTTTTTTCTTTTTTTCCCTGCTTCATACACTGACCTCATTGGTTATACACCTGGGCCATTTTCACATCGCTATCTTCCAAAAAGAAATTGAACTAACTGTTATCTTCCTTTTCCTATTCCAAGAGTATGATACATATTGTTTAGCTAAAATAAATACTTAAAGGTTCAAATACGTTCTCATTCATCATCATAATAACAGTCTGAGATGACTTGGAAACTAAGGATGGGGACTGTAGTTTGGGCAGAGTTGCATCTGGTTTGGATTCTGGGTTTCCAAAGCTTCTACTGGGGATTCATGCAAGTGAGGGGAGCTTATACTTCCTCCACCACTTTTTTTTTTTTAATTTGTATTTATTTATTTATTTATTTATTTATTTATTTTTCCCCCAAAGCCCCCGTAGATAGGTGTATGTCATAGCTGCACGTCCTTCTAGTTGCTGTATGTGGGATGCGGCCTCAGCATGGCCGGAGAGGCGGTGAGGCTGTGCGCGCCTGGGATCCGAACCCAGGCCGCCAGCAGCGGAGCGGGCGCACTTAACTGCTAAGCCACCGGGCTGGCCCCCTCCTCCGCCACTTTTGGCCCTAGTTGATGGAGCTGGGAGAGGGAGAGGCAGGACAGTACAATGGCCAAGAACACAGACAGATTGTTCTGCAACCTTCTAGTAGGTCACCAGAGACATAATAATATGACTACCTACTGCCCAAGGTTATTTTGAAAAATGTCAGGAAAATCACTCAGCAGAGCTCCTGGCACATCATGGTCGAGAAATGTTAGCTAATATTATGAATATTCTAATCTGTTTGCTCTCGACCAAGGAGAAGTTCTTTGGTAGTAACTTCCCCGCCAGAGAAAACCTGAAAACAGCCTGTGGGTGGCACTGCCGCTCTATCCAAATAGAATCACAGTCAAGCTTCCCGGGAGTTGAAAGTCTGAATCCGTGTCCCGGAGAGATTTCCAAGGAATTGGCACTTGTCTGTACTGCATCTCCCAAGGAGCTCCTCCTTCCTTGTACTGCCCCAGCTTCCTGCCACCCTTGCACCTTCAGTCTCGACTCTGTGAAATTGAAGTGGTGGGCCAGACCAAGCAGGAAGCTGGGAAGGGGAAGCAGAGAAGGAGACTCAGCCTGGAGGGGCAATACCAGGGTCCTCTCCTCAAGTCCTGAGGTGGACAAGCTGGTCTGAATACCAGAGGGGTGCGCCACTCCCCCACGCCCCACACCTGGGCTCCCTCACCCAGCAAGCAGCAGCAGCACAGGATTCAGTCTATGTGGGGACCCCCAGTGTTCTTACCTTGCTGTCCAGACTGGGTCTGAGATAGCAGGAACTGGGAGACAGACTGTAGGTGGCCGGGAACCAGCACGAGCTGCTGGAGCGGATGGAGGGAGGTCATGTCCTGCACGTGGGAGATACATACATCACAGAATTTACAAGTTGGTGGTGCTGGCTCCATCTGCCTGCTACCCATCTGTCACAAGGGTCTCCAGACCCTCAGAATTTGTGGCAGTGACCTTGCCTTATGCCTCTATGTATCTCCAGTGTCCGGCACATAGTAGCTACTCCATTAACGCTGGTGTCGTTACAGCTCCTGCACTGGGCCAAGCAGTGCCTTGCAACCTATTGTTACTTAAACCTGGCCTTGTTATTTAACTTTTGTGTGTGTCAGGCCTGTCTCCCAACTAGACGGTAAATGCCCTGAGAGCACAGACTAGGTATTACACATCTCAGAGGTTTGCCCTAGAAATGACATGCAATCCCAACTGTCTAATTTTTTTTTCTTTTTTTTTAAGTCTCATGCCACTTGATTATGCTAAAAGCCACGTCTTGACCATTTCCTGGGCCTGAACCTTTCCTGAAGGAAGGGGCAAGTTATTAGTTCTTAATAAAACCAATTTGACTAAACAGAAAGTCCATTTCTCCTGGTTTCTTCCCATCAGCCCCCAAAAAGGGAAATACCAGTCCCAGTACTGGGGGATCTGGGAATCCCCTGAGATCTAGTCCCCCAGGGTTCTGTGCCCCCAGGGCTGAGCTTAGGTCTGTGCAGAAGAAAAGACTTGGTAACCGCTTGCTGAAGGAAGAGGTGAAGGAATGGATGCACATTCTAGTCTTAAATATTTCCAGAGGAGGGATGGCTCTTCTTTCCCCGTCACCTAGACCAAGAAAGGGGACACCACATGGACGCCTGTCCTCTCAGACATTTGCCCTCACTGTTTGAGGATGCCACTTTCCGCCCCGCACAGCACTCTCTTCTAGTTTGGCTTTGATGTAAAATCTTGGGGGAGGAGAGTGGGCCCACTGGGGACAGAGTCGCTCTGTATCTGTAGCAGTAGCTGTCCCCATAGGGCTTCTCTGACTATGGCTGGAAGACACCAGCCCTGTAGTTGCTAGGTCCACCGTTTTGGCAGGATTGGCTCCTTTTACTCCCAGAGAGGTAGAGACCTCCCTCTTTGCATATCCAGCCAGGCTTCATCTTTAAGACGACTGTTTTGTAAGCCCACCCCCACCCCAGGCCTCCCCTTCTTTCTTTTTTTCTCCCCTTCCCCGCAAGGGGTTCTTTAGACCAATATGGATTCACTGAGAGCCAGGTCCAGAGGTCAAGCAGTTTGCAGAAGGCTTGAAATAAGCTCATCAGCCTGCTGAGAAGATCAGGCTCCCTGACAGGGGCTGGCGTTTACCCCAGACATCTGGTTTCCGGACATCATGGCAGGTCCTTGAGTCAGGTGGCATGGCCGATGTGAGAGGGTCTGCTGCAGGGAGTCACTGAGGTCCTCAGTTTTAATCTGTAAGTGGGGGCACGAAGAGGGTGTCAGTTCTAGGCCTCCCCAGGCAGACAGAAATGGAAACTTAGAGAAGACCAAGGCAGGAGCTGAGTGACAAGCCTGGAGAGTGAAGAGCTAGCTCAGGGCCTACGGGGCTGCAGCTCAATTTTCCTGCGTGTGTGTCCTTCAGGCCAGGGCAGCTAGTGAGAGACAGAGATGAGGGGCCCCCCGGAGTAATAATCTGCAAGATGGGGAATCCACTTAGCTTGATGGTTCCCAAACACCATTCCAGGGGCTGTGCCTGTACATGCGGCAGTTTATGCTCTTCTTCGTTGAAATGAGAACAAGTAAGGATATCGTAGTGACTTAAAAAATTTCCTGTAAACTCTGAGATGATGTTCCTTTTTTTCTCGGGGGGATATGTTAGAATTTCTTTTATGAGATGATGGTGATCCTAAATGGTATTTTAAAAACTTCCCACCTCACAAAGTAAAAAATATTGGCAATCCTTTATCAACCTCCCCCATATTCTGTTTTTTATTTTCCTGGTACACAAAATCCCGAAGTCTGGGAACCAGCTTTCCCTCCATCCCCCCTTGTTTTCCACACTTCTCCATCCTCTGCGTGCTAAGCTGCCTCTGTAGCCAGCCCTCTTTGCCGGTGTGGCTTTGGTGACAGTCCTTGCCTGTCTCCCTACAGGCAAGGACATGTCTCCCTCACAGTCACTGCTGCAGTTGCAGCCTAAGGGGCCTGTGGTGGTTTCCAGACTCTGCCCAGCCTCCAGCGCCCTTCAATGACAGCACACCCACCCACTCATGGGTTTCCCAGGTGTCCAAGGGCAGGGCAGGAAGCACAACTCGTGTCCACCCATCCTCCCACCCCGAGAACAACTTCACTCTTGCAGCTTTTCAGGAAGTTCATTTGGTGGTGGGCGAGCCAAGTGACTTCGAATTCATATAATATGGCAAGGAGCACCGGATCTAGACCACACCTTATAAAAGACATTGGGGTGACCCTGTGATGGAAACTCTTGGCCATAGAGATCCGGCTAAAACCATTTTGTTGGTCTGCACTGGGAATGTCACCGACATCCTGGAATCTCTCCTGTCTATACTAGTTTAACCCAAGTTAAAGGTTCAGACTAACAGCTATACTTGTGCTTAATCTCTGTGGGAAAATGGTGCTTTGGATCACTTAAAGAAAGAATTCCTGGGGCTGGCCTGGTGGCGTAGTGGTTAAGTTTGCGCACTCCGCTTCGGCGGCCTGGGGTTTGTGGGTTGGGAAACCTGGGTGCAGACATATGCACCGCTTATCGAGCCATGCTGTGGCTGGCGTCCCACACGTAAAGTGGAGGAAGATGGGCACGGATGTTAGCCCAGGGTGAATCTTCCTCAGTAAAAGAAGAAAGAATTCCCTTTGGTTGGAGAGTTAGATCCTATTGAGTGACATTAGAGACTGAGGAGGGAGCTAATGTCTTAAATGTGGTACCTTGCACAGAGCGGGAACCCAATGCATGTTAATTGAACAAAATACATAAACACAACCCATTTCTCCATAGTCTCCAGTGGGGAAAACATTTAACGGGGAGCTAGACCTTGTTTCCCATCCTAACTCCGACTCGAACTTACTGTGTAACCTTAAGCAATAGTTTAGCGTCTATGGGACTTGGTTTCTCCATCTGTTATACGATTCTATATGATTTTTCTCTCTTTCAGTCCTAAAATGGAATTATAAATTCTAATTTCCTAGTGCATTTGGCAGACTTGGCCAATCCAGGTTGCTGCAGTGTTCTTAGATAAAGCAGATCTAAACAGCATCAAGAAGCCCTTGTTGCACCAAAACTGATAAGAGGATGCATCTTTTAGGGACAGTCTTTACAAATAATTCCTCTCTTCTCCTCTCACCTAAAGAGACTCTCCTGGAGCCTTGGGAGCAAAGAGGAGGAAGGGAGAGAGATAGGAAGGAGCACGGTGAGGGCAGAGTTAGACTTTCTGAAAACTAAAAATGTACGGCTACCTGGGCGTGCTCTCCCGGACAGCCCCAATCCCTACCCCCAGTGCCCCTCAGCTCTTCCCACCCCACTTGGCATCTCTGTCTAAGGAGCTGTAGTGTCCTAGTTCTTCCCTCAGAAATTAGAGTTTTCACATCCTAGATTCCAGGAAAACATTTGTTAGCAGGTTCTAGAAAGCTAGGAATAGATGATAAACTACTTATTTAAAATTACCACCACCACCAACCTTAAGATTTGCTCTGAGAGATTTTACTTAAGCAGAGCCTTTTTGGCTGGCCTCCCCTCCCCACATCTACCCTCTCTATCCCCCTCCTGCCCCAGGGCATCCTTCATCCTAGAGTGGGGACAGGTGAGGCAGAATGGAGGAAGGGGGACAGGGGAGAACAGGGAAAATTGGAGCTGAAACCACACTGGTGGAACCACCCCAGGCAGCTTGGCACGGCTTCAGCTCCGAGGCAAGTGTCAGGGTTCCTTTATAGACTCATTATGAGCAATGGGGAGATAAGGCGGTGCAGCTATGACAGACCTTGAAAACATGTGCTTTGCCTCCAACCCAGGTGCTATCTGTTAGAATCAGTGCCAGGTCTTCCTGCAACACTTAATTTCAGAAACCAGCACCATCATAAAAGAAAACTCACCCTTTCATCTGCTTCCTGGATCAACTGCCCTCCAAATTCTTTTAGGGGCACTGTTGACCTCCCAGGTCTGAAAATGAAAGGTCTCATAGCATAAAGTTCCTTTAGGTGTTAGTCTGGGGTGTTCTGACAACCCAGCGTGCTATTCTTCTGAGTTTTTGCTTTGTCGACCTTTTACTCTTTCATTTTTCATAATTTGTTACCCCTTGGGTGTGAGCTGCTGACAGTAACCCCCAAAGAAGACAATCCTTAACAAACCCCATTGAGAGACAATAAAGAAGGCTTCTTTTTCTATGACAAGTTCTAAAATCTCTGCTCAGGTTGGTGGGTCTCAGAACGAGCAGAGCGGAACAGGAGGGGAAGCAGATACATCAGCTACCCTTACTGCCGCCAGCACACTCTGCCAACAATTCTCTGACAGTTCAGGGGCTAAGAAACTAAGAAATTAAGTCCTGCACAAATCAAAAAATCCCTTTCACAGCTGTCGAATGGAAAAGATTGGAGCCTTTCCAGATAACTGGGTGTTGTCTGCAGAACTGGAAGATGAGATAGAGAGACTTCTGTTGGATCCCATTGACTTCTAATGTGAGAACCGGAGGCAAATTGGATGAAAACCTAATTCCCCTGTATTTGTGAAAACCTAACCAAACCCACAGCCTGCCCGGAATCACGAAGATCATCACCAGGGTCCCTTTGGTAGTTCTCACGCAAGTGGAATATTTCTCCAGGCTCTGCTTGAGATGGACTAATCCCTGGGGACATGGGCCACCACAGAGGGCTGTGTCCTGTGACAGCCATTGATCATCCCGTCCAGCTAGTAGACAAGGTTTGTTAGTTTAGGATCTTCTCCACCCACTGCACTGTGCAAAGGTATTACACTGAGTCTTGGGCAGTGACCAGGGAGGTAAAAAGGTATCCTGAGTGATTATCTTTTCTAATCTGAGTGAACTCGCTGACATCATCTGCTTTAGAAAGCAGTAGCCTCGTTCTGGGAGGAGAGAGCCCCTTCTGAGAAGCTGGAAGGCCTTCATACTTTCCTTACGTGGCTTCACCATGGGGACAAAAGTTTACCTTCCCATCTCATGGAGGCCCAGAGAGCTTCAGAGATGGGTATAAAGTGATATAACAAGACACTGGCAAAACTCCAACAAGGGAATGGTCCTCTGACCCTCCCCTCGTGCTCTTTCCACAAAACAGTACTACAAATGTCCCAGGGATAGGACCATAGGTGATGGAAAAGGTGGAGTGCTGGCCCAGACATACGCTTGGACCTCCTTAGTAACCATCTGTTTTGGGGTCTTGTGATGGGGCATGGAGGCACTGGGGTACTCATCCTTAGCCTCCTCCCCATGACATTTTCACATGGCCCTCTCCAGGGGGAAAAGAGCCCAACACTAATGAATATATCACTGGCGATGAAAATGATCAAAGCTGTTGTCCCAGTTGCATAACTCGTTTGTGGAAAGTGTTTCATAAACATTTCACAAGAAGGAGAATTTCAAAGCGTGAACGTCTCCCAACCTGCCTTCAATTACAAACAAGATTTTTTTTTCTTTCTCCCCACTTCTGCGCTTCTCCTGAGCACTGAGGAAGAGTTTCTGTTTTGTAACTGATCTATAAAGTGTTGGCAAACATGCCGCTGACGAAAATATCCTAAAAATATATCCCAAGCAACGGAATGGAGCAGACAGGTAACTCATCTAAGGTGAGCAAGGCTGCAAGTCCCCCAAGAGATGTTAGCTATATTTTTGCTTGGGGACTCTCCTCTCTCTGTGGCTCTTGGCTGCTCCCCATGTGTCCAAGGCTCCTGCCTGTTTGGATGCCTCTGGGAAGTGCCTGGGGAGATGGCCTCACCCAGTCCCTGGTCTCTGGTCACACCTATGACAGACCAGCCTAGGAGCACCTTTGTCCATGCACACTGGGATCTTCTCCCTGACAGCATTCAACTTCCAGACAAACGGGTGATGAAGGAGAGGAGATATGGGCACTTTAATAAACGAATGGCTCCTTAGGAGGCTGGGGCCACTTGGAGCTGCTACCTCCTGAAAAGAAACTTTCCACAGAGGCATCCTTGTCTTTCCCGCTTGCGTTTACTCTGGAAATGCAACAAGCTTATCAATCCTGTTATTTAATGCTTTGGCTTCAGTTCTTAAGACATAGCATTGCTAGTGCTGACACATGCATGAAAAAAACTCCATCATTTTAAGCCTATAAGAGTTTTCTTCTCCCTCTGGCATTTAAGTCTGTGAATTCAGGTTTAAAAACTCTGGGAAGGGGCTGTGCCCTCATTGAGGACACATTCTCACAAACATTTCATGGTGCCCAGGACTTGAACAACTTTAACCATTGATTGCTTCACAACCCTCCTGAGACAC